AGCATGCAAAAAATAAATAAATAAAAAGCAACAGTGTAACAATTTTAATAACATTCAAAATAAATATGTCAAACAGAAAATACCATAATTCCCCATGTATAATACTTCTTCATCCATAATATGCACACCTAAAATTGTGCTGAAAGTGTGGGAAAATGTATCTACTGACATATAATATGTATCCCTTGTTTGGTAATCAAACCCTATAAATTGTACTTCTCCAATTTCATTACGGCCAGCATTTCCTACTCTTATTTTTTTAAAAATGGTTTTAAACATAGAATAATATTATTCTAATTTAGTTTTATGATAATTTTTATTTTATTTTACATTTGTAAGTATTGTTAGGTATATATTATTGTATTTGACATTTTTATGGGGTTGCAATTGCCGAATGTTAGTGTCAAATTGTTGTATGTTTGTGGTGAGTAGTCATTTCACAACTGAAATCGACCTATGAAACAGCAATATTTTAAAGATTTTTTTTGTAGCTGTGTATAATACGCACCCCTAATTTTGCTTATAATTTTTTAGAATAAAATGTGTATTATACATGGGGAATTACAGTAAATATATTGTGAATAAACTTTGGCTTATATCCACATTTCAATAATTCAGATACTTTTTGTTTTGTTTTCAGATTCATTTAACTCATTTAAACTCCATAACTTAACAAAAACATTTCTTCATTGGTTTTCAACTACCAATAGGAAATAATAGATTTTATATTGTATTTTTAAAATGATGAAAAATTATTTTACAAGTATTATTTTGCAAACAGTGAAGAAGAACAAAAATGATGTTTATGAAAATTAAGTTTGTTTGATGCATAAGAATAAATGACAGGAAATGATAACAATTCAATTGATGGTTGGATTTACAAAGAAAAAGTTACACACTGAATAAGCCAAATAAATTTTTATGAGTCTCCATCTTCTAACATTACTGAAAACTTAGCCAATAAGTTTTTATGTTCTATAGTTTAAAATATAGTTTTGTGGGTACATTATAAACATAAATATGAATTTAACTTTATCAAATATATTTGAGAAAATTCTTAATGTTGTTTTAAAGAACACTGTGATTTCTTTAATATCAGCACTCACTAATTTAGATTTAGAAATTGATAAATCACAAAGTAAATATAGTTGATGAAATAAGCTTAAGATTTCATCGGCTTTGTATTTCTTCTATAATAGGAATGGGAAATTAAACACACCCCAGTTTCAATGTGCAAAATCCAGCTCTGAGCAAATATATACCCTTGTGCAAATTAATTGAAACAAAAAAAAGTGTGTTCATGCAGAATTACAATTTCCATATGCTTCCTTGGAGTAATGTCCATCACAGACAATGGCTATAGGACAACTAATCGACAGTTGAGACAATAATGTCTGGGTGTGGTAAAAATCTGATGCAGTCACAGATGATGCAATATTTTTCAAGGCCAAACAAATTTCATCATAGACCCCCAAAATAGATTCATATTTCTGCACACCACTGCAAATGACCTAATCTGAGAAAAAAAATAGAAATCAATTACACCCTGTCATTCCAGTAGATCTAAAACTTCCCGTATGGTGAAAGAAAGGAAACTAAAGTGATTGTTTCAATTTGCACAAAGGTGTAGTATTAAGGAGAACCATTAAAGTCAATGTTTCATCACTTCAGAACATTTTGTTATGAAAGACTTCTGCTCTTTCTAACAAAAGCATAAATAAATTTATGCATGACATTTTAGGAATTAAAACTTGCCTAAATCAGCATTTTAACACTATTTCTACAATTGTATAGTTCTAGTGGAATTAATAGATACAATAAAACTGCCATACAACAATCACTAAATTAACATACATTTTGAACAGGTTTATTTAAAACATTTAAATAAAAGCTTGAACAAATTGATATATACAAGTATTTAAAATAAAAGCATAGAAATATAGATATTTGTTTTAACATTGGTGATATTGGAGTAAAAACAATAGCTGGCAAAACAAAATTAGAAATAAATAAGAATATAGATTAAAAAAATATAACAAAAATATATTTAACCCTTTGAGCCGTGACCACTGCTTTACCTGTGGTAGAGAAAAATGACATAATGCCCAGTTACCAGTTAAAAGGTGGGCAAACACTTAACTATTTTTATATTTAGCATGAAATATTACATACCAATTATTTGTGAATTTTAACTCAGGATCTCAGACAGAAGGATTAAAATTGTTCAGGGACACAGGGCTCAAAGAGTTAAAGGTATTACAATTAAATATACAATATATGAAATTAAATATAATAATGAAACCAATTGATGATAGATTAATGAGAATCAGTGTGCTTTACAACTGAAAAAATCAACTTCAGTTGATTAGATAAAGTTATATGTGCTACAAGAGATCAATTTTTTTTTTTTTTTTTTTTTTTAATATGAGACTTAAAAATTAATTGTTATTAGTTTTTATACAGTAAATATTTCAGGCACATAGCGTCAAATGCATTAAAAATTATTGATTAAAATTGTGGTTTTAGATTTAATCCAAAATTTAAATAAAACTAAATGACAAATCAAAGAACATATTTCTATGTCTTTTGTGCATATTTTGAATATATCAGAGATTTTAGTAGGAACTACAAAATATTAATCAAGCTTATATTTTAGGTACATTTGAGCAAACACTTTAGGTACTTCAATATAACTTAGTACAATGAAAATTTAAATTAGTTTACCATCAGTATCTATCTATATTTCTGAGATGAGGTATTATGTACACTATTTAAATTATTCGGACTATTGTCATCTTTGTTGCCATATTTATTACAACATTTCAGCCATTGTACACTCTGGCCTTCTTCAGGTGGTTGGAGCGTACAACAGCTGAAACGTAATAAATATGGCGACAAAGATGAGGACAATATTCCGAATAATATCAATAGTGTAGTTTATCATTGTTTAGAGAAAAATAAATTTCACATTTTATTCAATTTACATATTTTATTGATTTCAACTGAAAAAAAGTCATGGCTCTTTGTGAGGAGGGGGTAAAACTCAAAAGTAAATTGCAGAGGTTTGGTGATATCTGGGGTCTTAATTGTATGCCCCTAAGACTCAAGTAGAAGGGCCTACTCCATTCTCACTTATCAAAAAACAGATCCACATTCACACCAGCTCGTGGAACTGTAGGGTGCTTGTACAACAAAGTTAACAGAGACAATTACAAGTTTCAAAAAGTAAATTTTTATTTCACTCTTTGATTGGATGCCTTCCCAATCTGGAAGCCTGGGCCATCACAACCTCCCCATCACCTTCTGCATTCTACTGCCTCTACCCTGGGAATATTCCACTGTATTTATAAACAAATTTATAAACGGTATTTTCAAGAGAAAGGTTTATCAGATTGACCAAAATCTGATTTAAAATGTAATGATGCAAAAGAAAAATTGTCATTGAATCAAAAAAGCATCCAGAAATAAATTCTAATCAAATTGGAAAGGATAATAACATGAATTAAGACTCTTTGATTTGTCATTTATTTTTCGTTAAATTTTGGATTAAATCTAAAATCACAATTTTAACTTATATGATTTTAATGTACTTCTATATAGCAAAAACAAATTTACTCAAGACTAAAATTAATAGATGAAGTCATTTACAATACATGTAAACATAATAAATGATAGTTAAAATGATTAACTTGTTAATGAATAAATTTAACTTTGATAAAACCGGAAATCTTAAAAATGAAAATATAAAATAACTATGAATGACTCATCCATTAATTTTTCATATCAAAAGACTAAAATGTATATAAAAAAGATTATTTTTTAAGTATCAATTAGTAGATATTTATATATTATAGCATAACAGATTAATAGTTGCCAGCAGGCTTATGGAATAATAGTTGTAAATAATATTAGTCATAATAGAAGCATTATTAGCTTTTTTATTTTTAGAATACAAGAAGCAAAATAGAGAGAATGTGTTATTAGAGAAAACAATTGTTGCAAACTATGCAACGAAACCTAAGTCAAACATTTTATAAAGATAACAGAAAATCATAATCTTGGTGCAATTATGAAAATTTCTTTTTGTTTCAACTAAAACTTAACAAAGAATTTTTTCAACATTTATTTTTTTAAGTATCAAAAAATAATTATCTTGAAAGAATAAAAATATGTCTACGTAGAATATGAAACTAGGCAATAAGGTGTTAAGTAAATTCTTATCTTATTCAAGGTATACCATCATTTATCTCCCTTACTCTTTAATATACATTCCTTTTAACATATCTGTTAAATGACTACAATAGTGTCTTTATGATAATTAGAAGTGAGAATTATATTTACAAGTTTTAAAAATAAACAATTATTTTTTTTTAATTTTATTTTAGTAGTCAACATAACATAAATATAACAACTAAAATATATCAATAAGCAACGTTTATCATTCGAACAAAATTTGAATAAAATAAAACAATATAATGGATGTTAAACTAGTATTTGATTAAAGAAAATAAGATATTTATATAAAAACAACCAACATTTTTTTCAGCTCTTTTCCAAATCAAAAAGAAATAATCAGTGAAATTTCACAATTACTAACTTACATTCCTATTTTATATTATAAGCATCTTTTATAGCTCTGAAAAACAGAAATACTGCACCATATATTTAACATATAGTTAACATGTAATGGAAAGTCAGAGAGAGAGAGAGAGAGAGAGAGATAGAGGGGGGGGGCAAGAAAATTCTTAAACTCTAATAATTGTTCATAATCATATTTACTTTCCCCTGTTTTCATGTTTACATGAAAAAAAATTAAATTATTTAGAAGAAAACAATTGTTACAAATATGAATACGATAATCAAGAATAAGCGAATAATTAAGAAAAAAAAGAAAAGAGAAAAAAGTTCTTTAGAAGATCAAGAACTACATAGTCAGAGAGAGAGAGTGAATGAGCGAGCGAGAAAGAGGAGTTATCTACTGAGTAGCATTTTGTGCTCACTTTCTATGGCAGGAATGTTGTCCGGAACTTTGTGGAATGGTTCCCTCTCAGTTTCTTCCTGGAGAGGAAAACTTCGAAATTGTTTGCACTGGG